CCCAGCCAGCATGCTGGCTGGGGGATTCTGGAAATTGAAGTCCACACATCTTAAAGTTGCTGAGTTTGAAAAACACTGCTCTAATGCTAGTAAAAATGGAAGGCAATTGAAGAAAAGGCTGACAGAAGACAAGGTGTGTAGATACTAATACAAATGACACAAGCAGAGCTTCTGAGAACATAAAGCAAGTTATTTACTGACAGTCTTGGCAAAATGATCCCCGTCAGGGCATGAAGAGTTGGAAGTGGCTGATCTGCTAAACAACAACATGGTAACATTGCTCTTGTCTACCTCCTTATGTTCTCCCAAGATCCAGTCTATCACCTTAGTTTAAGCCTACCTTTTTTTTCTAAGCTGGCAGGCACCCTTCCAAACAAAACAAAGGATTACAATTCTCCCATCATTTTTATTTTTTGAAGAATGCTTAGGGGGAATCTGTGGGGCCCAGAGTTTCTTGGAAAAAAAGGAATGCTGGAAACAAATATACTTTGCTTTGCAGTATTCCCTTTTCAGAAATGAAAATAAACAGTTTTTAAAGAAATGAAAATCAGGTGAAATAAAGTGCCGAGAAAGGGATTTGAAGGGGGATGGTAGAAAAAGCAGTGAATTTATGCCAGCTGCTATTTCAGTTTTCAATACTCATAGTCTGGAGTAATTCAATCTGGTTTCACATTCAGGTTATGCATTAAAATTGCTTTCAGAAGCAGGACAATAGTTAACAAACAAAAGACCTGAACAATACCTTATCCTAACCAGCATCTTTACATATTAACTCAAGGGTGCAGTAGAAGAGCCTTTAACAAGGTCGAAAATTAATGTAAGGGAAACAATCTAGTCATCTGTTATCTTTCCATAAATATAATTTAAACCAGTCCTCAATCTAAGAGAAATCTTTGGGTTCTTCATGACAATAGATTTGAAAGAGCTGCTTGTAGAAAGTATCAGTCTAAGTAAACATGGATGATGCAGCTTTCTCTGTGTGTCTGTGTGTGCTTGACTTTAAAACTCCAAATTTATCTACCCAATAAGTATTTTCATCTTATGCTTTCTGGAGTCACAGGACGGTCACAGATCAGAAGATTGCAGTCTATTGCTATCAAATAGCCTCTATGTATAGTCAAGTGATCCTCATCCAGGCCCACATTCCATGCATGTAGGAGCTACTTTACTAACCTGGAGCAAATTCAAGTATTTTACTCCCACATGGCTGGGGAGACATTCCTCAAAGACTCCCGAGTAGGAGTGAAAGATGCTGCTGATCTCCTGTCTGCTTGCAAAATTGGACATTCAGAGGAAACACAACTTCTGTGTGCAACTGTGGAGAGAGCTGTCATGTAACAGTTCAGGTGTTGCACTAGGAGCAAGAAGACCCTGGTTCTGGTCTCTGACTTTGAGCCAGTCCCTCTCTCTGGGCTCCAGAACCAGCGTGGTCTGATGGTGAAGGTGCTGGACTAGGAGTGGGGAGACCCAGATTCAAATCCATCCTCAGTCATGGAAGCTCCTGAGAGGACTTTGGGCCTCCCTCTCAGCCCAAGGGCCAGAATCATCATTCTGGTGAAGGTGCTGGAGTAGGAGTTGAGAGACCCAACTAGTCCCCCCTCACCCATAGAAACCCCTTGGGTGATATTGGACCGGTCCCTCTCTCTGAGGTCCAGAGCCTGTGTGGTCTGGTGGTGGAGGTGCTGGACTAGGAGGAGACCCAGGTCCTAATCCCCTTTCACCCATGGAAGCTCATTGGGTGGGCCAGTCACACACTCTCCGTCCCATCTATTTCCAGTATGGCTGCTGTGTATGCTGCCATGAGCTCCTGAACGAAAAGGCAGGATACAAATCTACCAGATAAGTGAATAAAGTCATCTCTGCCTCATGGCTAAGAAGCACTTTGTGCATCTGCTTACCATAGGGACAGCTGGCTTAGCAGCAAGTGGTCCTGAGGCCTGGAGAATATAGTCGGTGACCAACTAAGAACAAGGCATGGTTTCATTTTCTGGTTTCTGCTAGGCAGAGGCAGGCAGAGTCCAAAACGTGGGCATTATTTTTAAACAAATATTCATGCATTTATTTCAAAGAAATGTATACGCTGTCCTTCAAAATGGTTCTTCTCAGGGCAGCTTACCTGTGTCTGAAATCAATCTGAAAATGCTGTAACTCAAAAGTAAGATATTAAATAGAATATGTAGGAGAATAAAAAGACCTTGCCTGGCACGGGAGTGATAATGAACTTGGTGCCAGGCCAGACTCCCTAAGGAAGATGTCACAAAGCCATATCTCTAGGACAGTGTTTCTCAACCTCAACAACTTCAAGATGGGCAGACTTCAACTCCCAGAGTTCCTCAGCCATTGTGCTGGCTAGGGAGAAGTTAAGGTTGAGAAACATTGATCTGGGAATTAGCAGTTTTGTCAAAGAAAAGTTACAGAAATTTGAATAGATGGCTCAGTATTGCTTTCCATTTAAAAGTCCTTTTGTACCATATGGCTTAAAACACCTTTTTTGATGTTTTGTTTGTTTTAGGCTTGTGTTTTGTGTAGAAGACCCTGAGATGACCAACATATCTCCTGGCCAAGAACTCTGGTTTGTAAAATGCCGAGAAGGGTGGCAAAAATGGAACAAAACAATGTAAGTCTTGGTGCCAATCCAGAATTCATTTGCTACAATAGAGGTGGCGTGAGGGGTTATCTGATTGTCTTCCAGAAAAGACAATTTTTCCCCCAAACCTCTTTCCTTTGGGCAGGGTTATCCCTTAACACTACAACTACCCGATTTGGGAAGGCTTGGAAGGATGCAGTGGGTACCCCAAAGCTTCTCCAAAGCTTAGACTACTCAGTGTGCCCCTTAAGCCCCCTAACACCTCAAACATGCAAAATGGGAAGGAAAGAGAAAGAGAAAGGAATCAAATCAAATCAAATCCCAGGTCCAAAGATGCTGCTGCTGACCACTCTGGGGCATTCTGTGGGCATCTGAAGACTGCAAATTGGGAGCTGGGGGCAGGGGCATCTGTAAGGGTGGTCAAAAAAATCAACATGGCAGCTGCAAATGCACAAAGCTCCACCTTGTATGTAAAAATAAAAGGGCCAAGTTTTGATCACAGGGGTGCCATCTTGTTTATTTGACTTCCCCCGTGAATTGCCCGGGGACTGATGTAGCCAGCAGGCTGATATCCTGCTTTGACTGGAGGCTGCCAAGCATCAGGCCTGAGACCTCCTGAATACAAGATCACAGTCTCCTTAACCTGCAGCGTCCTGAAATTACAACCGTGGAAGAAAAAGAAATTAGCTCATCTGGGGCAGCGTCAGTGGGGCTCCTTCCAACTTGCATTTTATGTCATCTTTGAATAGGTGTTGAACGCGTGGGAGAGGTGCAACTTTGGTTTCTGAATGCCACGGTGACATACGTTGCTTCTTCATGTTTGCTCTAAGAGAACTCTTGACTGTCCCTAGTAAATAGGGCATTTCACTCAGCATTCCCCCCAACACACTTCCACTGCAAAGCAAATTTAACTTTGTGGTGCCTGGAAGCCTCCACTGGTGGTTCTCCACAAGCATGACAAGATCATTTGTGGTTCAGTGCCGATTACTCAAATTACACATCCCATAAGCTGCCAGGGACAGGAACGTGACCTCCCCCCACAAATCTTCAGAGGGTGATTTTTTCTTTCTTTCTTTTTTCTCTTTTTGGCCAGTAAATCTTAAATTATTGTTGAAGCACATAAGACCTGTATTTGAGCCCCTTAGATCTTGTTCTTTGTTTTTCTCTTCCCCTCTTAGACCAAGACCAAATCTGCATTGAAACGTCCTCCTTGAGAAGCTTCCTCGATTCATCAGGGACCAACCCAGCTGGAAAAGGCGTTTGCTGCAAAGAAAGACAAAAAGACCAAGACATGTTTCTGCAGACTTTTTCCTTCTGCTTCCTCACTTGTCAGCACTTGCGAGAACTTGTAGTTTAAAGATGGATATATTGGGTTGCTAAGAACTATCTCAGTGTGGATGATAATTCAGAGAATTTTGTTATATTTATAGCTTCTACTTTTTTAAAGAATAATTTATTGGGAGGGGGCAAACCCAACGTGTTACTCAACTGGCCTCCTTTCCGAGAACCTTTCTGGTTTGTGCCTATGCCACCTTGCCTTCGTCAGCATTTGGGTCGCATCCTGTCTCTGCCTCTCATGCCTTACACGCTCAGTAAAAACAGATTGCACGTTATTGCAACACCATGATTGATGTGAATGCAGACAGATCAGTTCATATGATTGTTTCTCAACCTTGGCAACGTTAAGATGTGTGGACTTCAGCTCCCAGAATTCCCCCTCTTAATGTTGCCAAGGTGGAGAAACACTGGTATAGAGTATTCTGTGTACACTTCAAAAAGGATGGAGAAGAAGTATGCCCCTCTACCTATCACTCAAACAATCTGATTTTTTTTTTCAGGCTCCTGTGCAAGTCTCTAAAAAGATACTGTTGCTGTAGGAGTCACGGTAATTTTAATGAATTAACTCCTTAAAGCAGCTGCACCTTTGGGGACATTTATGTAGAAGGCTGAAAAAAAAACCAATGGGGTTGACTTCATGAACATTAAGGAGAGGCTGGGCTCACGCCGTATCTGAAATGTTCTTCCCAATTAATTTTGAGATGTGTATAGCCCTGGTATGGAATTCTTGGATGAAGAGCATTTTTAGCAGCAGATGATATCTCTTGTGTTCATCCTAAATTGATCTGCTCGTTGAACTATAACCTAGCATAATAGGAAGAGAAGAGAGCTGGTTTTTGAGAGGTGAAGAAACCGATGCACAGAATTGTTCAACCGTTGCCTCTTCCTTACCTGGGTGTGTGTGAAACGGTGCATTCCAAGACCTTCGTGCCTTATGACTTATGTTCAGCAGCAGTCCTGGGTAGGTGAGGCAGGTGAGGTATCTTTGCGAGTCTGACAAAGTGTGTTAATTCTCAGTGTATTATGATGTGATGATTTAGCACAAATGAAGAACCTAAGCAATAGGCAACAATCTGTTTTAAAACATTGTGCTTTTTTCAAATAGGGACTTTGGGGGCTTGCTTGACATTGAAAAGGTTTTTCAGGTAACTGTGTACCCCTCAGATAAAAGTTAAGTTGGAATCTGCTAGTAGGGTATGGGGTGATTCTCAATGAATTGAGGGGTATTAGCTACCAAATATTTCAGAATATGATGTTTTTTACCAGCTAAATGAGGCTGTTGAAATGAAGAAAGCTTAAGAGAGCCAAGAATGTAGTTTGTGTGAAAGGCTTGTGGGCTCAGTTTACTTCTACCGTACAAGAAACAACATAGCAAGCATAAACTGTGGTTGTGAGTATTGTGATCTTTAATTCCAAATTTTTATCTTGTTTTTATCTCTGGATGGTAGATTTTGAGGTATTAGTAAAACAAACAAGACATGGAGTAGATAATCCTGAAGTTTGCCCATGATTTTGTACTCCATGCAAAGAGTTTATGGAAGCCAAGAACTGCAGCACATGGCAAATTTTGGCACCTGTTTAAACTGTCTACTCCCGTGATCACCTTAGATATCTTTTTGAGCTGGGCATACTTGAAAAGGACTCAGAAGTGTTTCAGACTTCACATAAGTGCAACGATTCATTAACACTTTAATGCTATTCATTAAGGCAGTCTAATTTCTTTCTACCTTCCTCACTATCCTGGGGGAGAAAAGCGACTGTTTTAAGAAATTTGCTTATTAAAGTCAATGCAACTCTCAAATCAAGGTGCCTCCCACCTCCTAGGTCCACATGGAAGCCAGAAGAAAATTGGGTTGCTTTAGTGAATAGCAGAGGTGTTCCATCGTGCACAACCCTAACGTCTTCATGTAATAGGGGAGGAGATGACAGTGGTATTTTTCTCCTTCAACGTTATAATTCTTAGATTCTCCATATGCACTTGACCAAAGCATTACATTCAAAATTATCTGTTGTTTATCAAGACAATACCTCCCTGTTTCTGGTTCTTTCTTTTTTTCTTTTCTAAACTATAAGAGAGAGAATCATTCTGTTCCCATGGCAGGAATAACTCTGCAGCAACAATTTCACCTGCCCCTCTAAGAAATCTTCTTTTTTAAAAATGGTAGCAAAGAATACTTTTGTGTGTCTTTTAAAAGATGTCTGGTTTAATAAGAGATTAAATGGGACCCAAAAGAAGATGTTATAATTTTGAGTTCTTCTGTTCAGGGTTCCATGACTCTTTTTAAGATATATTAGTTGTATTATTCACTCTTCCCCCCGCTCCCCAACCCCCGATCTCTTGCCATGAACCTTGGACAAGTTTGGTCTTCATTGTTTTTTTCCCCAAGCCAGTTCATATTTTTCTCTTGAATTTTCCCCAACAGAAAAATATGAACATTTTCCTTTGGATTGTCCTTGGGTTTTCATTTGTTGAAACCATCCTCTTTTTTGGGGAAAACAATTTCCTCTTAGTACAGGAGATTCTATTTTATAAATGATAGGCCATGAGAAAACAATTATTATAGAGGGCTGTGAGAAATTAATTAATACTAAGCTGAGTGGTAAGCCTGTGGTGTCTACTGCATCTCTGTGTGATTTACTGTTCCAGTATCTCATCTGCTATGAGCTACGGCTGTCGTAATTCTCTGCATGTAATTGTACATTCAGATCAGATGGATGCAACACATGGCCAAGAAGTAACTGAATTCTCTGCCATTTCAGAAGGCCTGTTACATTTCTGAAGAAGTAGCTACTCTAGGTTGGCTTTCTTTCAAACAAACATACACAGGGATAAAATGGAATGGCCTTCACCGTGGTGGAAACTCTTTAATGTACATTAAGAGTTCTTGCTCTGTCCAAATGAGATCTGCCCCCCTTTGTAATTAAAGAATGAAGTTGTTTGACTCTACAAAGTTTGCAAAATTCCTACAGAAGGCACTTGAGAGATAAAAGGTTTGCACTGAGCAGATTAAAACGATCTACAGATAGTGACAGCTCCCTCAGAAGGAAAGAAAGCTGCCTATTTTTAAAGCTACATTTCTCTAGGCACTTTTCTACTGCTAATTTCATATTTATGGGCTAATGGTCTCAACCAAAGTCTGAAGTTTTTTCCCCACATTTGTCTGTCTTTTAAGAACTGAATTTTTGGTAATTTAACTGTGACGTGTGCCAACTTACGAAGTGATCCTGAAGCTCTGTGAAATTTAATGTGTATATAGTGGGTTTTGTAATAATTGCTCCTCCTCTATTTATTTTTTTTTCCAGCAATGTGCATTTGTATATTTGTATAAAGATGATCTTTTTTTTAGTCTAACGTGTTTTTTACAAGCCAGGAGCAGAAAAATAAACTCAGTGACTTCTTTAAAACAAGATGTGGACATTTTAATTCTTTCCTTTAAACATTCCTAACATGGTGTGTCTATAGGAGAATGCATCAAGAAGGAACTCAGTCAATCTGTTCAGCTGAGCAGAAATGCAAAGTTGGATATCTCCCATCAAGTCACAGTCACTTGGTCCCCTTGGCTTTACAGTTGTCTCTTGAAAGCCTTGCAGCCTGTCAAATTTGGACAAATGTACAAATCAAAGAATAATTCTTCCACTTCATTACTCTAGGAAGTGCACATTTGATTGATTAATTATGTGCCATCAAGTTAGTGTTGCCTTTTAGCAACCCCATAGATTTTCTCCAGGGTCATCTGTCTCCAACCAGGTCCTTCAAGTCTTCCAATGTTGGAAGTGCAAATTAGACTAATGATGACGATAATGACAATAATGTGCCTTTGCCCAAACACAGTAGAAAACCAAAGCAGCAACACAAGAATTGCAAATCAATCCAATAAAATTAATCCAGAACCCAATAAATTTTCACAGTAAAGCAACTAACACAACGATAATGCTTTTAAAACAACAACTGGGTTAGGAATGACAGAATCTACATCCATAATAATTTAAAACGTTCAGTCATTAAGTCATGTCTGACTCTTCGTGACCCCATGAACCATATTGTGCCAGGCCTTCCTGTCCT